GGCTGCCGGACACTGGCGCCACCGGGCCCTCTGACCACCACCAGTAGGCAACGGGTGAAGTGTCTTGCCCAAGGACACAAGGACCGAGACTGTCCAAGCCGGGGCTCGAACCGGCAACCTTCTGATTACAAGACGAACTCCCAACTCTTGAGCCACGATCGCCCTTTTACCTCCTTTATCTTAGTGTCCTTGATTACTTTCAACTCTGTCTTGTTACCTTTATGTTTCCTTGCTCTCGGATCAGCTGCTGCTTCAGTTTGTTTCTGTTCTTTGTTCCTTCGGTTTTTAGACTCTTTGTGTGTTATTGGAGTTACTAAAGGTTCGTTTTGTCTTTGACTCAAAAACAACACATAAGGATGAGAATCATGGGAAACAAGCCCAGATGGTGTTTGTGAAGCCTCAACATGAACATTTCCATTGTCACCATGGAAACCAGACATGAGAAGCAGGAGGTGGATGAGACTGAAACAGTCACAGGTTTTTAGCCAATGAGCATGTCCAGGATAAACCTCCTCTCTGACACATGATCAAACTCTACAAACTACGTTAAATTAGATTAAATATGAAAACAGTGACTGAGGTCACACTCATCAGGTCGGGCAGCAGCCCCGGGCCCCCTGCTGGTCATTAGGAGAATGCAGGTTTAAGACACACTTCACTTTATAGAAATCAAAGCTCCAGCTTTGCTCTCCGTCCAGCTCACCCAGGCTCAGCGCCAGAGAGACTCTGACCTTTCGGATGAATTCTCACACAGCTACAGATGTGACAGAGAGAAGAAGACGTTTATCCACAGTGACCCTGGAGAGGACGGCAGTGAGGTTTAGACCGCCACTGGTGACCGTGTCACCCCGAGTTTGTGACAAAATCACTGCTTTTTGTCCATCATTGAACAGACGTCAGAGATCAGTCTCAGTAAAAAGACCTTTGGGGTCATCTGAGGTTAAAAGGAAGCACGCAGTGAACCAGCTGTTGGTAACATGACGTTTAACAAGTTTTCATTCTCGTTGTTTCTACAGAAGTCAAGTCTGCAGCCAACCCAGGAAACCCAGCTGCTGACAGGGCATCGAGTTTCCACACAACTATAAATCACATAGAGATAAAAACAGCAGTTTCACCAGCAGCACAGCTGAGGGGGAGCACATGTTTTCAGTGATAAAGGTTAAATAAAGACAAATAAATCTCAGGATCAGAGGCAGTGGAGAGGTGCAGGTTACCTGTGAGCAGCGCCAGCAGCAGCACGACCTTCATGACGAAGCCCGAGTGACTCGTCGGAGCTCGCCAACACGTTTAAACAGCTGCTGACAGGCTGCGAGTCATCACAGCTGCACGCTGCAAAAAATGATCCTGAAACCACAAAAACAGGGAGGCGGGGCTTCTGACACCGTTTTTACTCAAACAGTTAATCCACGGATTCGACTCCAGATTATTTCCTTTGCAGTTCAGCGTTTTGTTGACGTTTAGCTCCCTCTGTGGTTCAGTATGTGGTCATCACCCCCCCATGTCCTCCTGCACCATGTTTTCTTTCTTTACGTTTTAGAGTTTGGGTTTTTTCTGGAGGTCTCATGTTTCTTAGCGCTGTGGTTCTTGAGTTTATGATTGATGCACTCTGTTCAGTGTAGTGTGTAGTATTTATTCTTGGAGTTATTTCCTGTTTTATTTTGGTAGTTGGCTTTCTTCTGTCTTAGGCTTAGTTTTACTTCCTCCCCCGTCTGTCGCCCTCCTGATCAGGTGTATAAATAGTCCTTCCCTCAGTCTTTGGTTCAGTTTGTTGCCTTCGTTGGGCCGTTAACCAGATTAACCACCACTATTTCAGTCATTAGAAAACATGTATTATAGTATGTAATTAATAGCTGCTGTATTTACTGTGTATTAAACTATTTTATTGTCTACAGAGAACATTTCATATTTATTCTGTGTACATTTGTAATATTTTATGCGTAATTATTGTTTATTTACAGTATTTTCTTGCATCTTTCAGTGTTTCTGCAGCTGAGCAGGCAGAGCTGAGCTACTTTCATGGTTAAGTTACTAAACTTCCGCCTCACAGACAGCAGGATGACTACGAGAGGGAAGTTTCCCCCACAGCACAGCTGAGTCTGTTCAGCTGCAGTTCATCGATCAGCCACACGGTGGAGGCAATGAGCAGTAAACAGGAGAAACACAAGAAGAAGAACTCAGTGAGGAAAAAAAGGTGATGAGTTCCAACCGACGATTAAAACAATTAAATTAGCAGACTCTGTACTGTTGAAAGTGATTATTTAACACCTTACCTTTACCTTTATTACCTTTAAATAAAGGATTGTTTAAGGCTTCCAAACTTGAGGTCCATACGGTCCATCTCAAGGAATCACTTTCCTCACTTAACGAGATTATAAAAACTGAATATTTTGCTAATCTAACAGCTTCAAAAAAGAAAAATCCCGAGTATCGTTTGATACAGTTAAAAACATTGTCTGATGTTCCTCATGTACCAGTCTGTACTAAATCTGATTGTAATGACTTTTCAAACTATTCTGTTAATAAGGTCGCTGCTGTCAGGGCTAATATCTCTCCATCATCCTCTCAGCATCACACTGACACTGATACCTGCTCCTCTGTTACTCCTGTCACCTTACAGGACGTCAGTGTCTGCTTGGTCGAATGAAACTGACTTCAAGCCACCTTCATGTACGTCCTCCATCATTTTTCATTAGTGTGTTTGACTCTACTGACCTCTGTATTCTGGAAATAATTAATACTTCTCTTCATACTGGCTCAGTTCTCAGCTATTTTAAACAAGCTATTGTTGAACCAGTATTAAAGAAACCAAATGTGGACCCTTCCAAGCAGTTACAGGCCAACATCAAAATGACCGTTGGAGTCAAAGATCTTGGAAAAAACAGTTGCAGAACAACTGAACAACTTTTTGGAGAAGAACAATGTTCTGCACATTTACACTCCACTGAAGCTGCTTTGCTTACAGCGTGTGGCGACTCTGATGGCAGCAGAACCAGTACACCATTCTGTTCTGTTGGATCTCAGCTCTGCTTTTGATGCTGTTGATCACAGCATCCTGATAAATAGGCTGAAGGACTTGTTTGGGATTCCTGGTGTTGTTTTAAATGGTTTCAGTATCTCTGAGACATCTTTACTGTATGAATCATGTGCTGTCGGGAACATCAGTTCTGTCGTCTCAGGCACCTCAAAGATCTGTTTTAGGTCCGATTCTCTTTTTGCTGTATCTCCTCCCTGTAGGCCAAATTATCAGACGTTACAATAATATTTCTTATCATCTCTATGCTGATGACATTCAGTTGTACTGCTCTTTCAAAGCTTCTGAGTTTGATAAATTGTCTTGTTTAAATAATTGTCTCTCAGAGATCAAACAGTGGTTAAATGACAGTTAAATGCAGATCAAACAGAAACTTTGATTATTGCTCCTGATCACATGCTCTCAGTTTTTTAGACCCTTCATTTCAGTCGAGTCTCAGAAACTTAGCTGTTATATTTGACGGTTCGATGTCTCTGGAGAGACTCTCTGAACAACTTGTTGAACAGTTTTTATCATCTGAAACATTTCTAAACTCAGACTGGTGTCAAAGGCAGGACTTGAGATGATTCCTGCTTTTCTCTCTTCTCGTTTGGATGATTGTAACGGTCTCTTTACGTGTCTCAACAAACCAGCTCTGGATCCCTTCAGTCTGTACAGACTGCAGCGGCGAGACTTTTGAGGTCACACATTGCTCCAGTTTCAGCTTCTCTTCATTGGGTAAATTTTAGGGTTCATTTTAAAATTTTAGTCGTAACCTTTAGAGCTCTGCACGGTGAAGCTCCAGTACATCTCTGACCTGTTGAAACCTCGTGCTTCATCTCGAGCACTCAGGTCAAAGGTCAGAGGTTACTGGTGGTCCCACGTACCAGGTTTAAAACACGTGGGGAGTTTTTCCCCGAGGCTGTGGGACTCTCCGCCGTTGTCATTACGCTGTCTCGACTCTGCTGATATTTTTATACAAACAGGCTTTTAATTAATTTTAACTTGTCTGATCTTTGTGATTTTTATCTGTGAACTTGCTCTATAAATACATTTTACTCACATCACTGAAGCTTAATTAAAAATAGCCCCTCCCACTGTCAGTGATGTCACAGAGGAGACACACGAGAAATGTTTTCCATATTTAGAAAGTCGACGTCGCTCTGATGTCCATGCTGTAAAACTCAGAGCTGAGGCACCGTCAACAAGCTGCTGCAGAAAACTGACCATCAGACTTACATCATGAGGAGCTCCGCCCATCCGTGACGTGCTTCGTCTGATTGGCTCCAGCGGGGAGCTTCAGAGATGAGGACGCGACTTGCCGTGTGAGGACAGACTGACAGAGCCAAATCTGAACGATTTCACTCATTTTTCATGCTTTTATTGTTTAAACAACAACAGGAAACAGATCAATAAGAAAACAGATGATTGGTGCCGTGTGACAAGCATGTCACATGACCTTGACGGCTTCAGGTCACGTGTCAGACAGGACGTGAGTCCCTCGCTTGTCACATGACAAGACATCAAACGAAACTTTAAAACTTTACAGGGAACGTTCGTGGGCGTCTAAAGGGGCGGGGTCACCTGTGTCACTGTGGATTCTTATAGGTTAACTCTGAAAAACAACCTATCAGAATAAAAGCTCGCTACATCTGTAGGCAGCAACTACACCTGCTGCCTCCAGAACCTCCCATCTGAAGGTGCTGTTAGTCACATGGGAGCACACCTGGAGCTCTCTGATTGGACGCTTTCAAAGCAAAGCGTGAGAGCAAAGCCATCTTCCTAAAATACGCTCCTGCTTCCTGTTATCATCCCGCCTCCAGGCGGGTGGGTGGGACCTCAGGGGCAGTACTCATAGTCTCCCCCATCTTCTCCTCTACCTCTATCACCGCCGCCGCCATCGCTATCGCCACCGCCACCATCGCCGCCATCACCGTCGCTCTCCATCTGGTAGATGTTGTCCACGGTGGAGCTCTACAGCTGCAGAGTGGACGCCGTGGAGCTGAACTGGACCTGCTGACCCGAGCCGACCTTCTCCTGAGGGCTGAGACAGCAGAGCATCAGTTTCATCATCACAGTGACTTCCTGTGGACAGTGAAAGACTTCCTGTAGAGAAGCTCAAACATGTCATGGTTTAAAAGCTTTGAGATGAATTTGTATAAAAACTAATCATAAAGTAACCATGGTAACCGATGACTGTCGGTTTGATCATAACCTGACGTGACGCCGTCGACGATGATCATTTATATTTCTGCTGCGTGGATCCATTTCCTGCTTCATCATCAGTTTGATTTTCCAAAGTAAAAGCCTCAAACTTTAAAAATGAGTCCCAGCAGACTCTGAAAGGTCACCGAGTCTGAAAGGTCACCGAGTCTGAAAGGTCACCGAGTCTGAAAGGTCACCGAGTCCGCTGCTGGTTACGCCGCGCTTCAGGCTGCGCGGTCATGTGACCCTCTAATTCAGGCTGTGACATTTCAGCGCGGGGCGCTCGGCGAGGATGAGGAGGCAGCGTGTAAACCTCAGAGCTTCCTCTCCTCGCTCGCAGCTTCTGGTAAGCCGAGCTGCAGGGAACCGAAACCCTCGCGGTTGGTGGGCGGAGTCTGCAGCGGACTCGCGGGTGGAGCTCCTGATGCTGGTCGTACGTCACGCTGACCCCAGGAGATGTGAAGAGCGTTGCTATGGAAACGATGATGAACGACGATCTCAGGTGTTCTGCAGATGTGCACAGCTGTGCGCTCCACCTGCCTCACAGACGTATTTAACGTTTATTTAAAGTTTTTATGACTGCACGACCACAACCTCAACTTCCTGTTTCCTGTCGTCTGGTCACGTTCACGACTGTCACACGTGCATCAAACATCCTCGACTTCCTCTTTCTGCTGCGACCCTGTGACTGCGCTGAAACATCTGGGCCCGTGGGCCTGCATGCTGGGCTTTAACGATCAGGCTGCTTCGTTCTCGCTCTCAGCAGGTCTGAGTCATCAGCATCTCAACGCCACCTCAAACCTCGTGTTCCGCTCGCCTTCGTTTGAAATCGCCCGCGTGGTTTGTGGTTTTCTTTATCTGTGAGTTTCAGTCTGAGCGCGCTCAGTCGTGAGAAGACGCTGCCGAGGTGATCGCAGCGCGCCGAGACCCCACGAAGGTCAAACCTGACTCAGGGTTCAGAAACAGGAAGTCCACTCACGTGCTGACGAGCCGCTTCAGTCTTCTCGCTGCAGAGACACAAACGACGTGATGAGGAGCTCGCCGTGCGTCACAGAATAAAATCACAGCTCAAACTAATAAATGTTTCCTGCATCACTGACGCTCAGGGCGGGATTAGGAACCCGCCGCCACACCGACCACGGTCGCCGTGAGAACAGACGGGTTCATTCTCGTACTCACCGGCGACGACGAGTCCAGCGAGCGCGAGCAGAAAC